GGGAGCCAGGTGTCTTGAGAGTGGGCGAGCAGCCACTCTCACACTTGGACACCCAGCAGAATCCAAGAGAGTCTTCCAACACCATTTCCTGGGCCCCAGGGCAGATCTGGCTCAGAAGCTCCTGAATAGCCCAGATGCAGGCATGAATTTCCAGGGCCAAGCCAGCACCCGTGGGTGTGCTGCTGATGGGAGGGAATGTCCAGCCATGGCCCGTGGGAGCGGGGGGAGGACCGAGGGGTGGCAGAGCCATCTGGGACTCCCAAGTTGTGACTTCTGACTCGCATCCCTTTTCACTCAAAGTGGCAGTGATTCTGGAGAGGCCAGGACATCTGCTTCTCCTCAGAGACATGTCTGCGGTTTGTCGTGCAGCAGGGACAGTCAGGCCACAGGACAGCGGTCTGCAGACACCTGGATGCTTGGGGGCCAAGAGATGTTTGATTCTGCTGGTGGTCACAAGTGAGATAAGATGTGAAAGGGGCTGATTTCGGAGACTGCAAAGGCCAAATCTACCCCCCTCCCATTCTTTTCTTCCTAGCAGTGATAGGAAGTTGCATTTGGGTTGCATCAGGGGAGTGACGTGCATGTCCCAGGTGTTGGAAGACTCAGTCTGGCTGTGGGATGGAAAGGTGAAACTGCAGTCGTGGCAGAGACAGTTAGGGGACTGTGTGGGCCAAGCAAAAGAGGCACAGGGTCCAAACTAAGGTAAGGGGGAGGAAGGGCAGGGACAGGTGAGAGGACTCTTTCTCCAGTCAGTCCTCATGGAGCGCCTGTTGTGGGCCTGGCACTTTGGTAGCTGCTGGGAAAAGAAAAGTGAGGAAGACAAATCCATGCCCTCAAGGGACTGGCATTCATTTGGGCCAAGCAAAAACCAGTCACATAGTGTGCAAAATTACTAGTGGGTGCTCTTCACAGGAGTGGTGTAACGTGTTATGGATAGATGTAATAGGGAGCCAGTCACGATGAGTTGTAAGCAAGAATTGGAAGCATGACAAGATTTTAATTTGCGAAAGATTGGTGTCTACTTCTGGCCATGGTGAATAGCAGGGACAGAATGGGGTGAACAGAGACCTGGACAAGACACATGACAACGGGTGCTGTCAAAAATGGGCTCACAGGAGGCCCGGGCGGGGAGCACAGAGAAAGAAGCAAACCAGGGAAGCCCCACAACTTCCTGGTTTCCTGCCTGGAGTCCTGGCCCCATCTGTGGAGGAGGGAGGGAAATCCTAAGCAAAACAAGGCAATCTTGTTACCCATGAGATACACATCAGGAGCTGGTGAGGCTGAGGCTAGAATGTGGGATAGAGTTAGGCAGAGGAGGGAGCTTTGCAGTAAAAGAAATGTGGAAATGTGCATGGTCCCGAGTCTTGGCTGCACACTAAGATGCCTGTGTATAAGGCGAAGCTTCATGAAGCCATACCGACCACAACCCAAGAGCTCTGAGCTCAGTGTCCCGGGGAGATATTAGAGTTCAGATTAGCCATAGATCAGTCAGGACATTCAGGGGAGAAACCAGAAGAGCCACGCTAGTGGACCTAAACTATTTCTTGAGTAATGACTACATTAAGATCACCCTAGCAAAGATTAAGGTAAGTCTCAGAAGAGTCCAACTGAACCACAAATTCAGTTTTTCAGAAAAAGTTTATACCTCAAGAGTCTTTGTTTCATCATCTTCCCATCAAAACAAAACCCAACACTCTTTGAAAGAACACAACAAAACCCAGACAAAACTCACTCTGTGTGACTGGTTTTTGCTTGGCCCAAATGAATGCCAGTCCCTCGAGGGCATGGATTTGTCTTCCTCACTTTTCTTTTCCCAGCAGCTACCAAAGTGCCAGGCCCACAACAGGCGCTCCATGAGGACTGACTGGAGAAAGAGTCCTCTCACCTGTCCCTGCCCTTCCTCCCCCTTACCTTAGTTTGGACCCTGTGCCTCTTTTGCTTGGCCCACACAGTCCCCTAACTGTCTCTGCCACGACTGCAATTTCACCTTTCCATCCCACAGCCAGAGTGAGTCTTCAAACACCTCGACAGGGCAATTATCACATTGTTTAGCATCCAATCAAAAATTTCTAGACACATTAAGAAGTTGGATAATGTGACCTATAATCTAGAGAAAATCAGTTCAGAGAAATAGTCCTAGAAATGATGAAGATGATGGAATTAGCAAACAAGGACACTCAACTATTAAATTACATTCAGTTCTTTAAAGAAAATATGAATATAGTATGGATGGAAATTTTAAAAATAAAAAGAACCAAATAGAATTTCTAGAGATGAAAACTGTAATGTTAGAAATGAGAATTTTACTGTATGAGATTAAAAACAGATTAGAAAAAAAAGAGTAATGAACATGAAGCATCATTAATCATCAGGGTGATGAATGTTAAAACCACAACAAGATACAACTGTCCTCACCACAATGGGTAAAATGTAAGAGACATCACCAAATGTTGGTGAGAATGTGGAAGGACTGGAATTTTCCCATACTGGAAAATTGGGAAAGAAGTTTGTCAGTTTCTTATAAAGTAGAGTATGTTGTTATTTGACTTGGTAATCAAACTTTGTGGATGTGTTCCTGCAGAAGTGGACAGTCACTGAAGAATTGCTGATCGTAAGACCTGTTGTCCATGCAGGTCTGCGGTGGCCATGCTTCAGGTCCCCTCCGAGTCTAGGTCTGTGTGTGGCTCTCGTGGGTATAGTTTGCTCTTTTTATGTGCTCATGCTCAGTCATAATGGCTTTCCAAGCTCACCTGCTGTTATCCAACTACCAGGATAACTCTTTATTGATGTCTGTTCTCTAATGGTGCCTTTGGTCTATGTTTTTAACATAAGCAGGGAAACCAACTGTTATTACTATGATGATCCAAGTTTCATTTCTTTATGTCTTTTCATGCACTACCTCATTTTGTCTCCTGGCGCAGGGATGTCTGGTCCCCATAAGAAATGTGTCGTGTTGGGATTCAGATCCAAGTGGCCTGGGTTCCAGTCTGTTCTTACACACTAAGCTGACAGTGTGAACCAAGAGCTCAGAAGTCAGCACCACATTTGCACAGGGAGTAACAGAGGAATTTGTGGGGGGAATAGGTGGGCTTTTTAGAGGAGCCAGAACAGATCTCAAACTGGAGCTTCTGAGTGGCAGGAAAAAGCCACAAGCCCAGTTAGACATGCTCAAGGGACTGGCCCAGGGGTGGCCCAGTGGGATGGAGGGAGAACCCACCACAAAATAGACTCCATGCTGGGTTGTGGCAGGACCTGGAAGGCCAGGCCATACCTTGCACTTGACCACATGAATAGGACCTGACAGGGGGCCACCCGAGTGTCCCGGCTGGGCTCTCCCACTCCTGTCTGTGGTAGTGAGGTGCACACAGCCCACGCCAGTGAAGAACACCTAACTGGAGGCCACTTATCAGGCGCTTCTGCCTCTTCCCTTGCAGGAGGGACCTGGGGCTCAGAGTCAGGCAGTGGAGAAAGGAGGCATCCTCAGGTTTGGGGGCCTTTGCTTTTCCCAGGGGAAGTGGGGTCCTTCAGAGGCTGGTGGTCATTTTCCCACATTGGAAAATTGGAAAATTGCTCCTGTTTGTGAGGGCTTAGGCTTCTTCAGTGGGGCTTTGTAGCCATAGTTAGTGGTAGCTTTAGATAAGTGACCAGTGCCCCCGGTTCATGTGCTTCACTATCTCCTAAGCAATGTCACCTTGGGGACGATGTGAGGTCACATACGCCTGGTAACCCTGTGAGGCCCAAAGCCACACCAGGAAGGCAGAGAGCAGGTAATAGAAACCTAGGTGTGTGTGAAGGCACTGTCGCCCACGCCTGGAGGGGTCCTTCTTTGTCTACTGCCTGTCCATTCCAGGCAGGACCAGCTACAGACCTTGCAGGCCCTAGTGTAAAATGGAGATGCAGGGATGTGTGTTCAAAAAATACTAAGACATCCAAAATAGTGACAGCAGGACACTAGACCAGGTGCAAGGCACTGCTGAGCACTGCTTAGGGCTGAAGCCACCCTCCTAGGAAGGAGCTGGCTGGGCTGAGTGCCAGGTAGGCTGCCACTCTAGCTGCACCGCCTCTGTTTTTGTGTGGTTGTTTGCACTCCGACATCACTGATGTAGTGGCTGCTGGACATGGTGCCTTTCTGACCCCTACTGGTCTGGGCAAACCCAGCTAGATGTAGGCCCACCTGGCTCTCCAGGGGCCCAGGGTATACGTTCCCCTTCATGTTCATCTGCTCCCACCTGGATGTGCAGTCTTGACAGCCCCTTCTCCAAATCCCAGGTTTCCTTCTGCTACAGACTGGCTCATGTCACTTTGGTGGTTTCAAGGATGTTCCTTCTGGTCCCCAACTGCTGATGTCACCCTTTCTTCTGAGTGTGTGCTTGGCCTTGGGGTATGCAGTGTTGCACAACTTCTCAGGAGTCTGGACAGACATACTGGGTCTCCTATGGCTGTGACAGTAGAACTAGCTCCTTTCCTTCCTGGCCAGGACTCTTCTCCGGCTCTGGGCCCGGGGACCCTGTGTGGGTTTGGACAAAGGCCAGCCGTCATCCAGAGCAGCAAGGCCAATGTATGTGCACCATTGCTCCTTCACTCAGTCACTTGCTCATTCTGTCCTCCCAAGTGTCTACTTGAGCATGCCCTGAGATGCCAGGCACGGGGTGCATAGGGACAGGAATGTGGGGTGGGCAGAACAACAGTCTCTAGAGATCAGAGCAGCCCTCAGCCTTGACCCTTGCAGCTGCCCAGGAGCACGTCTGCTGAGGACGCAGGGAGGTCTTCCCAGTGGTTTTATTCCTCTGCTGATCACTCTTCCTCGGTTAGTGGAAAGTACGCCTGCTGCCCTGTTCTGACCCCAGGACTGAGCACAATCAAGCTGGTCCATTATGGTTCCTACTTAACTCGAGTCCCTCCACAGGCCCTACCCTCTGCTCCGCTCACCAAGGGCTCTGAGAACCTAACGGTTGCTCAGGTTGAGGGGCAGGCCTGGCTCTGTGTCCTGGTTACCACTGGGTCACCTGCTGGGGCCAAGGGCCTTGCTGGGTGATGTTTTCAATGACACAGACAGAAAAACTCCACTCAGCTCCCACCGCTGCCCAAAACAGGTCTCCGTCTGGATGTCTAAAGTTTAAAGCCCAACTTGCTCCACCGCACATTTGGAGAAAACACCTCCATTTTTGTTGTTGTTATTGTTTCTCTGGAAAACAGATGAAGGTCTGGCTGGGAGTTAGAGGGCTGGAGCCAGGAAGAGATGTAGCCGTGGTTTATTGCCCTAAGGAAAACATACTTGGGTTATGAAGTATTCCCCCTTGAAGTCTCACTTGACATTCTGTAAAGAAAGAGTAACATTTTTAAGAAGTTGACTGAGCCACCTAATACCTTCCCTCCAAAGCGAGGCCCTTCTGAAAGATTAAGATAGAGCTGGAGACAGTCAGTCACCGTAATTGTCCTTATCCCAGATTGCTTCTCTGTCCACACTGTGCAGAGCTGGGACCATATGAAAGTGTCATCCTGCTTACCCACACCGCTGAGACTGGCTTAATGACAGGAAAGCTGCCTGCCACGGCCCCAGGGACCCTCAATCCTGACCCTCGAGGCCTTTGTCACCTTTCATAACTCTTTCCCAGTTGGGAAGAAGAGGTAGAGTGCTGGGTTTAGTGTCTGCAGTGTTTTAATTTTCATACATATTTTGCAGTGCTGAGGATGGAAGCCCAGGTCCTTACGTGCTAGGCAAGTGCTGTACCACGGAGGTAGTCTTATGGGTGTTTATTAATGGAATTAAGGATAATTTTCAAAGCCATCTCTTTTTTACACTCCTTCCACCTACTTAAGAAATATAGTTCCAAGTAGGCTTTTTGTGGGCAGCTCTGCCTACCTGGTTGAGTTCCTTTAATGGAAATCTGGGGAGGTCTGGGGACACCCTGACTTCAGAATGAAGCATGTGTAGATGCTCTGATGTGCTGTGTGCTGCATAGAATTAACCGGGAAGGTATGGGTTTTGGCCCCCGGGTAGAAAAGACTTCCTCCTCCAAAGCCACGTGAACATGGTAGGTGTTTTGAGTTTCCAGACTCCTAAATTTCAATCCTAAATCTTAGGGTTGTCACCTCCAACAACCTTGAAGGTTCCTTCTGGCCTCAGAGTCCTTGCCTCTTTACCAGAAGCAGGGAGCAACTTGGGATTTGTCTTTTGGATTTTCCCTCTTACCTTTTACCTCCTCCACAAGCTGGACGCGCTGAAGGGGCCTCATACTCCAACACGAGCCCCCTTGGGACTTCAGCGTGCTCATCAGGGGCCGGCCATCGACGTGTTGGAGTCCCTCTCTCCACCTATGGAAGAAAAACAAAGCCCGTGCTAAGTGATTTTTTAAAAGCATAATTCCATGGAGAATGGATTTCCAGGATTTCATCTGGCAGTGAGAACCAGATCAGAACTGGAAATGTTAGGAAAACATGAATTTCTTCATCCGAGAGAGTTCCCCTGAAGCCAAAGCCCCCCTCCTCCACTCTGGTGCTGGCCACTGACCCGATCCGGCTGGCTGTTGATTAACTTCAATGAGGGCTTCCCCTTGTTGTCTGAGGGCAACTCCTGACCTGGATAAAGTCTTCACTAAATGTGTGACCTTTACGGAGAAGCAGTGCTGTGTCCCTTTTGGGGTTTCAAAATAATAAATCACCTGAGGGGCAGTGAGAGACAAGACCACAAGAGGAGACAGACAAAGGACAAAGAACAGACAATAAAACTAACTTCCAGGAAACAGTCATTCGGTGCAGTAATTTTTCTGAAATGTAATTATGATCCAGTAACACAAATATCAGCATCTGGAATTCTGCAATCTAGACCCCTGTCCTGTTTAGAAAGGGAATGCTAATCATCAGGAGCAGTTTCTTTCCCATCCATGGGCCGATAGCAGAGCGATCAGGGAAGGGTGGAGAAAGGAAATGCGTTCTGCCACGCTGTTGGCTGACTTATCATCTGAGGAGGGACCCCCAAGCCGACAGTCCGAGGAGGCTGAGTGAACAGAGGCCTGGAAGCAACAGTCTCAGAACCAATTTGGTGTGAAAAGCCCCAGAAAGTAGCCCGGCTCGATCAACTCTTTGCACCTGTGTTTTCCGTTTCTATCTTGGGCTAAAACTGAATTCTGAACAGTGAGTTTGAAGGGGATTATTTTTTTTTTCCTGGATTAAAGTCTAGAATCTCAGCTCACTGAGAGGGTGAAAGGGTTCTGATGTGCACAGCATCACTCTTCCCCTCGCCATTCCTTGGCAGTTGCTTGTTTTTGTGCATTTGTAGGTTTTTGTTTTAACTTTTACAACCCTTTTCAAGCCATCGAAGAAGCAGGGGAAAAATGGCTCTCCTGCTCTCCTTCTTGACACCCAAACCCAGTCTCTGGAAAATGCAAAGTCTGTCCACGGTCCTCATTTGATGAACAAAGAAAACTGAACTCAAAAAGAAAGACAAAAGTACAATGTCTAGAAAAGGCCCTGAAACCATCTTCTTGATCATTTTGGGGGAAATGACTGGGACGTACTCTTCCAACACTGTTAGAAAAAATGACCCTCTCCTCCAAGGAAGGAAACTGCCTCAAAGGCCTCCAAGCTGTGATTAATCTCCTCTGGTGGTTATTAATTTTTAACTTTTGATAGTTTTTATTACCCAAGCTTATGCGTTCTACCACAGAGGCCCTAAGACTAGCAAGATGGCCCCAAAGAGTTTTGTACACGTTTTAAAAACCAAAACAAAACCAAAAACCCCAACAGTTTTAGGACTGATGTTCTAACTCTTCAATTAGGCATCCAGGGTTAAAGAAAAGCACTAGGTGTCCTGAGAATTATACAGCCAGTGACTTGAAACCCAGAGCCCACAGCATTTTAAGGACTAGATGTTTGCAGCTAGCATTTATTTTGGGGTGCATCTTACAAGCCACTGGTCAAGACATAAAAGTTGTTGAAGCCCAGAAAAAAAATCATTGAAGGCAGAAATCAAGTAGTTTGTAAATCTATAAAATTTTATACCTTGAGGACAGCAAATCTTTGTTTTTCTTTAGATAAACCAGGCAAAAGTCATTATTAGGAGAATCACAAATCTTGGTGTGACCCTTCTCCCAGCCTTTAATACAGGAAACCAGGAACTGGAAATGAGCTTACCACTAGGCTGTAATGAGCAATGCAGTGGAAGGGGCTGGAAAGCCAGGCATCAGGCTAAGATTGCTCTTCGGGGTCGGCCACTTTGCTCTTACTGGCTTAGTAACCTTTCTTTACTTGACATCTTTATTGGGCGCAGGCAAGGAGACCCCAGCCACCTCCTCTCCCAGCAAACTCCTTTTTGGCTGCCTGCATTTGTGCAGGCACTGTTCTATTTTCCATTTTCTAACCAGGAATGGAATGTTGATACTGTGAGATTGTTTTATTTATTTTATACATTTTCCTTGGAATGTCTACGTGTGGCTGTTGCTCCAGCTTGGTGGCCTCTTGATTTACGGTAGTTATAAACATTCCAAAGAAGACATGTCAGGTAAATGATACCATAACATTATACAGTTACAATTCTGTTATAAATGTGCTGACAGTTAAAAAAAAATCCATTTTCTCAGCCTTTCCCCTGCCCAATTCCTTCCTGCTACCTCCACGTGGTGACTTTGAAAGCCACCAGCTCAGTGGAATGAAGGCAGAGATCTAAGGTTCAGCTGCGGCGTGCCCTTACCACTATCCTTCCCCAGCCAACCCCAGCTTTCAGAAAATATTTCTAAGAAGCGTCAGTATCGGTGTCCAGAAGCAACACATTCCTTTAAAGAACACATCTGAGCTTTCTTTCCATTGAAGATCACATTTGTTCACACAATCAAATGTAATTGCTGGAGGAAAGCTGTTCCAAGATGGTGGCTGGTGCATCATTCTGGAAGGTAACCTGTCTCCCTCAATCCACTGGTGCTAATCCTTCTCACTGACACAAGGAAGAATGGTTCACTTTTTCTAAAACATACTGGGAGAGGGAAGAAGAAAGTTTCTCCATGGATACAGCAACTTGGAAAGATTAACATCCAGTCAGAAAATCTACTTCAGTGTGCTTCTGCAGAGAAATGTCAGGGAGAGATAGATTCCCAAGACCTCTTTTCATAGAAAGCACTGGAATGTGGGCTGCTATACTGCCTATGTCCAGATATATACAAATTTGATAACTTATCTTTGAGATAACATGTGCACCTAAGGGGCTTTTATACGCTATCAATGAAATGATTGTGGGGATTACCCTGTGCCTATTTTTGTAAACAAAGTTTTATTGCAACAGCGATATTCATTTGCTTATGTTTTATCCATGGCTATTTTGAACTACCACAGCTGACTTAATATTGTCTGTTTATGATTTTTTTGACTTTATAATGATGTGAAAGCAATATGGCTTCAAAAGAAATCATATGTCAAATTTTGAAATTTTTTTTGGTACCGGGGATTGAACTTGGGTCCTTGCAGTTTCAAGGCAGGTGCTGGAACCACTGAGCTAAATCCCTGGCCCATAAATTTTGAATTTTTATCATTTTTCAGGCTGGAGATATGTGGTATAAAATTCTTTAATAATGCTCAGTAGCAGCCAGGGGTGGTGGCTCCTGCCTGTAATCCCAGCACTCGGGAGGCTGAGGCAGGAGGTTTGCTGTGAGTTCAAGGCCAGCCTGAACTACATAGCAAGACCCTGTCTCAAAAAAACCTAAAAAAAACACAAAAAACAAACCAAAACCAAAAAAACTCAAACAAAGCCCCCCCCCCCCCAAATGCTGAGTAATCATGAAGTGCTATGAACTGGAGCTCCCAACAGCATCGTGAGATCGCAAGGAAAAAACACGCCAAAAATAGCATTGCTACAATTTTTTGATATCGTGAGGTTTTTTTTTTTCTATACTGTGTTTTGAGTTTTCCCATCCCATCATGAGTACAAAATACCCACCTGTGTCTTCTGCTTTCAGTGTATTAAGTGCATTTTTCAAACTTAGGATATTCTTAATTTACAGTGGCTTCTTCCTGGCCTAACTCCCTCGTAAGCTGGGGAGCATCTAGTTACAATGGCGTAGTTAAAATGGAGACGGTAAAGCCTGCAAAACTGAAAATATGAAGTATTTGGCCCTTCGCAAGAAAGCAGGCTGGCCTGTGTCCTGGACCAACTCAGGAGGTAAAATTCGTCAGGTTCTGTTGGGGCGTGAGAGGGTGACCTGTCCGTCTGTGTGGGACCCTCCACACCCACTTCCACCGGCTGCACAAACTAGGCAAAACGTCCTCCAACTTTGTTTCCTCATAGCAAACTAGAGAGAGCCCAGTCTGGAGGTCGGTTATGAGTAGGAAACAAAATGATGTATTTAAGGCCCTGACGCTAATACTAATCACACTTAGCCCAGGTATTACTTAGCCCAGGGATTACTTTCTATACTTGGAGGGTTTGCTGGCAGCTCTATATGATAGTTTACTCATGTAATCTTCCAAACCAGCCTGGGAGGCAGGTACTACTACATATGCTCTCTGTGTTACATATAAGGAAGCTGAGGCTCAGAGTGGCCCCATCACACACTGAATGGGAAGCATGGAAAACGCAGGAGCTCCCTGCTGAAAAACATTGGTTCCATTTGGTCTGCCCAGATTTCCCAACTTTTTATGATGTGTCATGAGCCTAGTTTTGCACCACTTGAGGGTTTTAAGGAACTCCTTACAGTCCTCACAGCCATCTAGGGGGCTGGCACCTTCAGAGAGGCATGATTTTGAGGTGCCCCCGAGGCCTGGCCTCTTCCAGCCCACAGGCGCCATGTCTGGGGCTGGCCTGGGTCACTCTCCTGCTTCTGCTCTGAGCCTGCCCTCAGGACAACAGGTTGCTAAGTAAAGAAATAGGATTTCGCTTCTTGGGTGAGGTGCTTGGGGAGTGAAGACTCAGGCCAGGGACCCAAACAGGATGCAGGTTCATCACTTTTTCACAAAGCATATCTGGATCTGTTTGATTCTATCTCCAAAACAGCTCACCAAATAATTCACTCATTGCCATTTCACATCCTTCTATTTCACCACCTCCTCTTACAGTTTCCTAACTAGTTTCCCTAAAATCCATCCATTCATCTATCTCTCCTTCTGTTTTTCCCACCATCCATCCATCTCAGCATTTATCATTCCCTTCCTTCATCCTTCCATTCCTCCATCCACCTATGATACATGTGTTTAGTGCTTACCATGTCCCAAGACCGTGTAGGTCCTAGTGCAGATGAAAGACAAAGCAGATCCTCTGCCTCCAAACAAACAGTGCATTTCAAAGTAAGAAGTCCCATGAGGGATCTTGAAAGAGATCTGTCTTGAAAGGTAAGGACATCAGGGGATGCATATAGAGAGGCTTTGGGGGCCAGTGGGCCTCACTATGGAGTCGTAGAGAG